AATTCCATGCAGTTTATTTGCTGAAAAGATTGTGTTCTGTGGACTATAGAATTTCTCTCACGTTTGTCTTCAGCTAGGCATGTTGGTGTGTACTTGTAATTTCAGCTCTTTGGAGACAGGCAGTAAAGTCAGCATGTGATCTAGGCATACCCCTACATAAGGGTTTTTAATCTAAGCTAGCTACAGCTACATGGTGACACCTTGCCTTAAAAGAAAGTTATAGGTCTCAGACTGGTAGCATCAGTATCATCTGAGAATTGTGGAAATGGATAATTTTGAGATTTACCCCATACAGAAACTAGGTAGGATCAACAGTTTGTGTTTAGTAAGTCTTCTAGGTGACTTTGGTGACTCATGTTTGGATACCTGTAGAAGGAATGGCGGACTGTGTCCCAACACCTGGCTCCTGTCTAGCTTTATCCGAAATAATTACGTGGAAACTGTATTCATTTAAACACTGCTTGGCCCATTATCTGTAGCCTCTTATTGGCTAACTCTTACATATTGATCTAACCCATTTCTAATAATCTGTGTAGCACCACGAGGTGGTGGCTTACCAGGAGGATTCTAACCAGTGTCCGTCTCAGAGAGGAGAGTCATGGCGTCTGTCTGCCTCTGCTTTCTTTCTCCCATAATTCTGTTCTGTCTACTCCACCCACCTAAGGGCTGGCCTATCAAAAAGGCCAAGGCAGTTTCTTTGTTAACCAATGAAAGTAACACATAGACAGTTAACCCTCCTCCATCAGATACCCAATCTGTAAAAACTTACTCTTCATCAACCATTGGTTCTCTGAAATATAATTCGTACAGGGGGAAAAAGCACAACAGGGACTGGAGTGATGGCTCAGTGGTTAAAGAGCCCTGACTGCTCTTCCAGAGGACCCGGGTTCAATTCCCAACACCCACATGGCAGTTTCACAACTGTAACTCCAGTTTCAGGGAACCTGACACCTTTGTGCAGATACACATGCAGGCAAACCACCAATGCATATGAAATAAAAGTAAATCATAAAATGAAAACCAAATAATAAAAAATGGAATAGTCTCTTGGCAGCCCCCTTCCCCCAGTATTGGGGCTGAATCTGTATTAGTTGCCTTTCTTATCACCATTACAGAATCCCTTACATTAACAATATCTCAGGAAAGTTTTTGGCTCATGGCTTCATAGGTTTTTGTCCATGGTCCCTTGTCCCATTGTTCTGGCCCTCAGATGAGGCAGAGTATCATGGCAATGAAGAGAAGACCTTTTCTTCTATGTAAACAACCCTCTGAAAGCAAACCATGGCTAAAGGTGGTTAAAGTGAGCAGGGAGAGCAAAAGACAGAAACCCAAGCTCCAGTTTGAAATATCCTCTTCTTTTCTGACCCTTTGCTGTATTCTCAGTGTCCAGTTGTAACCTGCAACTACTGTGGCATGATACTTTAGCAGATCAACTTAAAAGGAAGAAAGACACACTTGACAAGTGGAGGCAAGAAAGCTCCAAGTGGAAGGCGTACCTTGTCTCACCAACACCCACAAACCAAACCAAAAATGAAAGAGGGATTTTTCTCTTACTTATGGTTCAGTTTATGGTTGGTTGACTCCTTTGGTTTTGGAACTGTGGAGAAGAAGTATTGTGGTGAATGTGGGGTAGCATACCTGTTCACCTGCCTCATGGCTATCAGGAAGCAGGGAGGGGGAGGGGAACATGCTTCCAGTGACCTCCCATTGAGACTTCACCTTCTGAGGTCTCTGACACCTCTCAAAAGTTCCACTGTTTCTACATCCAAGCCTTTGAGTAGCATATCATACGCAAATGATAATACCAATCCTTCTGTTTGAGCTTTCCTAATGCACCAGAGGGTGTATCTGTGTGTTTTGCACACCACCCACTTGTAGAACTGCTGTGCACCATTTTCTGAACAGTGAAGCTTAAACTTTCTTAGTCTTTTTAGAACGTTACCACATTTTTATTTATTTTGTGTGCATGTGTATATGTAGGTTTGTGCTTGTCTGACTGAAAGTTGTCTTTTATTCTTAGTGCCTAATACAATGCCTGTGAATATAGTAAATACTAAATAATTTACCCGAATTAATGGAGGAAGAAATGGCATGAAATCTTCACCATTTATAATTAATCCTTTGGTAAAATTCATTCAGAAACTTAATTAAATTGCACTTAAAATTAGAAGACTTAAACTGGGAGTGGTGGTATGTGCCTTGATTCCCAGCCGAGGCATTTCAGACCTCTGAGTGCTAGTTCTGGGTCAGCCAGAGCTACACAGTGAGACCCTGTCTCAAAAAATTAAGATTTAATGTATACTTACTGTAATCTTATTGTCCATAGCAGTTCAGTTTGTCAGGGAGGAAAATGTTGGAGATTAAGCCCAGGGCCTCTGCATACGCTAGACGAATGTTCTACCTCATATTATAGAGCTTTGAAAAAAAATCACTATGTTTATTTACTGAGCCCACCTGTAGAGGCCCACGGACAACTGAGAGATGTCAAGAGACATCAACTCCTTTACCTCAAGGGTCCTGGGGATCAGACTTAGGTAGTCATGCTTGTCAACAATTGTCTTTACCTGTTGACCTGTCCTGCAATCTAGTATAGGTTTTTTTTTTTTTTTAAAGATGAAGTCCCATAAATTACTCCACACTGACCACAAACTTGTGGTCCTATTGCCTTAAGCCTTCTGAATGTGGGATTACGAAGCATTGCTATGCCAAACCTTTCTTTGTAATAGATTTTTGTTACAAGATAATGACTTTTCTCCTGATCTTCTGTAAGACCTAAGTGTGCAATTGTGTGTGTGTGTTGATACCCATGCTCTACTATACCTCTACACCTAGTGCAGCTTAAGATTTACCTCAGGGAAGTAAGTGGGTTGTACAGTGTAGTACTTCATTAATAATTATTATTAATGCTTATTAATTATTTTACTTATTAAATGGCACTTGGCTTATGCTTTATTGATAGAAATGTAGCAGAATACATAAATACAGTGGGATGTAATGTTTATAATTGTTTGCATGTTGATGTGAACAGCAGAAGCTTAGGAACTGACAAGGTCAGACTCGTGACCTAACCTGCCTCTCTGCTGCCCCAGAGGTGTTCTTTAGGGAATTAGGAATTTGAGACTGAAACCCAGGTATTAATGAATGCTAGGCGAGTGGTCTACTACTGAGCCACATCCCTAGCCTTTTTGTTTTGTTTTTGTTGTTTTGGATTTTGAGACTGGGGCTTACTTTACTTCTTAGACTGGCCTTAAACTCTTTGCAGTGGCCTCCCAGGTTTTGTTATTACAGGCCTGTGTGAAAGCAGTATTGGCTGTTGTTTTTAAAACTGGCTTCTTTCTTAGCTCTTTAATTGTTGGAAACGAGGAGGGGGGGGTCTATGCTTATATTCCAAAGGAGTTTTATCTGTTAATCATAAGGTATTAGGTCTGGAACAGAGGTGGACACTGAATGGCTGTTAGGAAGGTAAAGAGAACTAAAGAGAAATTTTTATTAGACTCTGCGCCTGCAATATTCCAACCTCTCTGTAGCACAGCTTTGGAGTCTCCTTTGTAGACACAGCTTCTTTCCAGGAATTCTTCGTCACAGTTATCCAACCAATTTATATTCTCTTTCTGTCTTTGTCTCTGTCTCTCTTTTCTTCCTTTCCCCTCTTTCTCCCTCCCTCTGCTTTTCTCTCTCTACCTGTCTCTTCAAGGCATCATGCATACCAAGCGCGTGTTCTTCCACGAAGCTGTATTCTCAGTCCTTGGAACTCTGCAGCTTGTGAACCTGGAATATCTCACTGTAAATGAAACAATATTCTCTGCTTCTGAACCTTAGCAACCTTGCCCTTCTGTCTGGCTCTGTGGTTTGACTTTGGGTGCTGCACCTAAGGAGAAGAAGAATAGTGTTTATCTGTTTGTGACTGGATTCTTCCACTTGACGTGATGTCCACAGGGTTCATCTATATTGTAGACTGTCAGAATTTTCTTCCTTTGTCAGGCTGAATAGCATTTGGAAGGGGTGACCAGCACATTTTATCTGTTAGTGAACATGTAGGATGTTAGATCTTGGTTGATCATGCCCCCTATTTCCCTGTGGATAAACAGCCTTTTTGATATTTCTTTGCTCAGTTACTAAATAGCTATAACAATTTATTACATTATTTGGGCTAAATTAGATAATACATACATTGCTTAGAGTGGTATGTAGCATATAATAAAAGTTTAAAAATGTTGCCATAACTAAGAAAGGACCCCATTTATTGACTCAAGCACCCATTCAAAAGTATTGCAGTCAGTCTGTCATTTAGATAAGAAAAAAATAGTTTTAAAAATCATTTGATATAGTGGGGGGACTAGGAGGAGAGGGGTGAGGGAAAACTGCAATGTACCGCAAAAATAAATAAATCATTTGATAGAGGCTGGACATGGTAGTGCATGTTTTTAATCCCAATACTTGGGAAGCAGAGGCAGGAGAATGTCTGAGCTTACAGTCAACCTGGTCTACGTAGCAAAATCCAGGACTGCCAGGATTACATAGAAAGACACTGTCAAATTACATAGAGAGAACACTGACTGTTCTCCCAGACGTCCTGAGTTCACACAGGACCACTCAAAACCACCTGTAACTCCAACCTCGGGGTCTGACTTCACATGCATGCGTATACATCACATACCCTCAGACGGCTAACATGCGTATATGCATAAGTAAAACATAAAGTCTTACAAAAATAATTAATGGGAGAGAAATTAAACATTTGGTAACTCTCAGCTTTTCCCTGGGTGAAAGCTGGGACAGCAAGGTCCATCACTGACCTCTGTGCCTCTTTGATTCTTTTTTTTCCCACACACACATCTGACCTTCAGAAGCGGTAGACTGGCTGCCCTGGTAATGTCAGTAGCAGTAGTGGATGAGTTCATAGGAGAAGCTGGAGCCGTTCCAGTGGGAAGAAAGTTTGCCTGCGTTCAGTGAGGATGTTTTATATGTCTTAATATTTTTTCCTTTTCTCATTTTTTTAGCCAAACCCAACAGAAAGCTTACTTTTCTCTACCTGGCCAATGATGTCATTCAGAACAGCAAACGGAAGGGACCAGAGTTCACGAAAGACTTTGCGCCAGTCATTGTGGAAGCGTTCAAGCATGTTTCAAGGTAGGGTCCTTTTTGTACATGAGGTAAGGTGTAGAATCAGCAAGAATATATGGAATGTATTTGTTAGAAGCTTTCTTTAATTTGTAATTTGATGGTTTTTGCTTTCTGTGAGGAATTTGAGCTGCCACTGAGGGTATTTGGAATACTTGAATCATGGCTTTCCTGTAAGAGACCAGAAGGCCTGCTTTCTTGGGATGAACGTCACTGGGCATAAAGGAACTGAACTGAAAATGCTTGCTTGTAGAACTCCATCTTATGTTTGACAATTCTGAACTTACTTAATACCACAATATTTTTACTGTTTTCTCGTGTGTGTGTATTTCCTAACATTTTTAAGTACTTTAGAAATGATAGATGGCTCAACAGTTAAGCGTACTAGCTGTTCTTCCAGAGGTCCTGAGTTCAGTTCCCAGCACCCACGTAGTGGCTCACACTGTTCATAATTCAAGTTCCAGTGGATCTGACATCTTCATACAGATATACTTGTAGACAAAACACCAGTACACATAAATAACAGTTTTTAAAAAAAGAACGAATATTTAATCATAAACTTTTCAAACATTTTCTTCAGGTAACTTTATGTGTGGAAATCCTAGTTTATGCACTCTAAATATTTATATTTCATTTGTTTGTGTTTGTGTACATACGCCATTGTACACAGTTGCAGATTAGAGTTGGTTCTTTCCTCTATAATGTGGGTCCCAGGGATTGGACTCAAGTCACTACGTTGTGAGACAAATGCGTTTTATCTACTAAACCATCTGGCTGACCTGCCTTACAATCTTATTTTCAAATATTATATGCTGGAATGTAATAGATTTCCTGGGCAAGCAGTGCTGGATGAGATAGTAAATCAGGCTGAGCTTCAGCATACAATGGTGCGTGGCGATTACATCCATTAGTGCTCTAGGGTGAGAATGTCCATGTCAGGTGTTGCTGTTACTGCTTTTTTAATATCATGTGACCTGCAGTTTCCACATTGCCTTCTACCCGCATCAGATGTGCTGCTTAGAGCTAAGTGCTACACCTTCTGTGGCTATGCTCTTTTCTTGCCTTTGATGGTTTCTTTTACTGCACTGGGTTTAATTTTTGTCCTATAACAATTTAAAATCCTATTTTCCAGTTCAAACCCCCCCCCCCACACACACACAGAATGTGATTATGTAGCTCTGGCTGGCCTGGCTAGCCTTGAACTCTCCATCTCTGCCTCTCCCTCAGGACTGGAGAACAAAGGCACAAAGGCCCAAGTCTGGCTCAGTTGAGACTTGTTTCTTCATTCCTGAGCTGTATGCCGAGTTACTTGTTGATGTTTCTACTTAGGTGTCTCATGCTCACTGTCTATGAACTTTCCTTGTTCCTACCAAATTTGCTCCTTCTCTAGATCTCATTATCTCAGTGAATGACAGCTTCATTTGTCCTGATAGCATGATGGGTGTCATCTACGCTTCCTTCTCCTTCACTGCATGCTCCATGGAGCACACAGCCTGCCGGGTGCCATTTTCCTGACTAGTTGCCGTCATCTTTTCTTGGTGGTCGCAGTAGCCACTCCCCTAGTGTGGCTTGGTCCTCTGGGAAAACTGTAGGCAGAGTAGCAGAACACTCTTATTACTCCCTTCTCTTTGAGCAAGACTGAAGGTGCTCCATTGTGGAGCTCGGTCTGCGCCTCTATACTCATGTGCGCTGTGCTTTTTCCCACCTGTAGTCTGCATTTTAAACTAACAGACCCTTTTCTAAGTTCTTTGTACCTTCAGCTACTTTTTTGTTTGTTTGTTTTCAAGACCGTTTCTTTGTATATGCTTAACTGTCCTAGAACTAGCTCTGTAGACCAGACTGACCTTGAACTCACAGAAATATGCCTGCCTCAGCCTCCCGAGAGCTGGGATTAAAGGCCTGTACCACCACCACACGGCAAAATAAATGTTTTTGTTTGTCAAGACAGGGTTTCTCTATGTAGTCTCAGTTGTTCTAAAACTCCCACTCTAGATACTTTTAGTTTTGAGATAGGATCTCTTATATCCCAAGCTGACCCTGAACTTGGTATGTAGCCAAAATTGACTGAATTTCCTTTTTGTTTTTATTTTTATTTTTGATTGTGAATTTATTATCCTCCTACTTGTCCCTCTCAAATGCTGCAGGGATTACAGACATATACCAACATACATGGTTTATGTGGTGCTGGAGATCAAGCCCAAGGTTTCATGCATGCTAGGCAAGTACTCTACCAACTGAGCTATATGCCCAGCTCCTATCCTATGCTTTTATATATGTTCCTCTCTAGAAAAATTCACCTACTGAAAAGATTTTAGGTAGGAAGAATGAACCGTAGTATTCTGGACAAGTCTAAAGATCAGCAAGGAGTGTGGAGAGTTTGCCAGAAGCAGAGGCTGTGGGACCGTAGTTCAGGCTGAGGATTTGGGTTTCAGAGACGGTTGAGAAGAGCTTGTTCTGATTTGACATAGAGTGGATATTTTTTAAAGTGAAGGAGTTAAGGCTGGAGATGAGTGAATGATGGTGGTATAAAACCCAGGCAAGGCACTCGAGCATGACTCAACAGTTAGGAGCATGCACAGCTCTTGCAGAGGACCCGGGTTAGTTTGTCAACACCCACATGGAAGTTCACAATTGCCTTAACTCCAGTTCCAGGTTATCGGACGGACACACACACACACACTGCAAAAACAGGTGAGGTAGCGCTGAAGGAATTGACAAATGGTTGAAAGTCACCCATGTCCCATTTTCCCGTAGATCCAGTCTTCAATTTTGCCTTTATTTCTCAGATAGTACCTCTGTTCTCTGACTGGGCTGGATCTGTCAGGGTGCTGTCTGTAGTACCACGTCCTCATTCATGGTGCTTATGGACAACAGCTGCTGGGAAGTTCCCTTTGGTTTCTGTGCCAAAGACAGCAGTGGGTTCAGCAGACTTAAAACGTGCACTGTCCTTTAGCTCCTTTCACTTGCGAGCACCATCATTGTGAGCTCCTAGTGTCTGCTCCTGAAAATTTGAAATTAAGACCATTTGATTTGCTTTTTTCTCTTACTGAGTTTTTTGTTCTTTTAGGTTTTTGTTTGAGACAGGGTTTCTCTGTGTAGATGTTACTGAGTTCTTAAGGGAAGCAAGGATGGTGTTTGCATCACACCTTGACTGAGCTGCTGCTGCTGGTGCTCAGCCCACCTGAGTAGTTCTTTCAGGGAGCCAGCATTTGGTCCCATTTTAAATCAGCATTACTTTGTGGTAGTGTTCACTATACATTTTTACTGTCAGTATTTTGTTGTTGTTGTTTTTTTTAATTTAGTGAAACTGATGAAAGTTGTAAGAAGCACCTTGGCAGAGTGCTGTCTATTTGGGAAGAGCGATCTGTCTATGAGGATGATGTGTTAGATCAACTTAAGCACGCTCTCTGTAAGTATAGGGTCTTGATCACTTTCTCTGGCTCTCAGGAAGACACATCTTTCATAGACTTCATGTTTTTAAATCAGATGGAGATAAGAAGACCAGGAAGCGGACTTATGACCAGATAAAGGTGGATGAGAATGAAAATTGTTCCTCTCTGGGGTCCCCAAGTGAGCCACCACAGGTAAAAAAGCAAGACAGCTGTGGGCTTTTTACTCCATGTGTCCTCCGGGCTTTGATAATTTCAGTATTCTGGGTGCAAGAAAGGCACTAAGTTAATCTCTCATATTTCTGGTTAACAAATTGCTTTTCTTTGACGTAGTATGGTGTGTATGTGTGTGTGTGAAGATTTTGTTATTTTAGTTATGCATGTGTCTGTCCATGGGTATGTGCAAGTGAACATCCAAGGAGCTAGGAGGTGTCTGTTTCCCTGGGCTGGAGTCTCAGCAGTTGTAGGCTGCCTACCCATCTGGTCCTAAACACTGAACTCTTCTTCAGGAGCCGTTCATGCTCTTAGCCATTGCAATACCTTAAGTGCTGTATTGTGTGATTTATATAGGGAATGCATTTCCAGTTGCTAAGTATGAATAAATGTAGCGAAACACCCACTATGTACACTAAAGATTTTATTTTTGCTGGTTGTGGTGGTGCACTCCTTTAATCCCAGCACTTGGGAGGCAGAGGCAGGTGGATCTTTGTGAGTTCAAGGCCATCTTGGTCTACGGAGTAAGTTCCAAGACAGCCAAAGATACACAGAAAAACAAACAAACAAAAAACCCCAAAAAACTAAAAACCATTTATTTTTAAAATAAAATAAAACCAACACATTTGTTATATGACTTAAACTAAAATTCTGTGCTTGAATGAACATTGCCCCCTTTAGATATTTTTTGTTTTTAAACATATAAAATGGTTGCTAGGATGATAGCAGAATAGGTGGTAGTAACGCCATGTATTATGTGTAAAACTTTTCAGGAAAATAAAAATTTTCTAGATTAATACTGTCTAGGTCAGAGTTAACAGCTGCCTTCTCTTTCCTCTGAGGTATCTACCATATGAACCAGTCACTTACCTCAGTTTGCTAATTAGAAAAGTTTTTGCATTCTTTGCTTTCATGAACACTACGGTGTGAACACCTCAAGGTCTAAAGTGGTGCCTCATGTTCAACGCTTAAAATAGCATAGTTTTTTTTTTTTTAACTTATATAAAAGAAGGATTGGGGACAGAAGAGATGGCTCATTGGTTAAGATCACCGCTGCTCTTTCTCGGTTAAGCTCTTAACCTGAGAACCCAGCTTTGATTTGGTCCCAGCACACATTAGACAGCTTACCACTAACTGGAACTCCAGTTCCAGGGCATCTGGCTCCCTTTCCTGACCTCTGGGGTACCAGGTATGATCGTGTTGCAGACAGACATACGTGGAGGTAAGATACATTTAAAAAGTAATCTAACATGTATTTTTTACAAATGTGTCTTAAGAATGCAGACTTTTGCTAGTGAGTACTTTGTAAGGATTAGGCATAGGAAAGAGGTGTCAAGTCCTCTATACTTGTTAGAGCTTTATTTCTTTTGGTTCTGAAGTTGTGTAATTTTTTAGACTCTCGACCTTGTTAGAGCATTGCAAGATTTAGAAAATGCAGCCTCAGGTGATGCAGCAGTTCATCAAAGGATAGCTTCTTTGCCTGTTGAAGTTCAAGAAGTGTCCCTGCTTGAGAAAATAACAGGTAAGAAGAGTGAGGTCCACAGGGTTATTTTGGAGGTGGGTGTGGGGGTGGTTTGTCATTGTTTTGTTGTACATTAATTGTATTATCTTGTGCTTTTCTTAGATAAAGAATCTGGAGAAAGGCTTTCTAAAATGGTAGAGGATGCTTGTATGTTGCTGGCAGATTATAATGGCAGACTGGCGGCAGAAATAGATGATAGAAAACAGCTCACTCGAATGTTAGCAGATTTTCTTCGTTGTCAAAAGGAAGCCCTTGCAGAGAAAGAACATAAATTGGAAGTGCGTAACCTTTTCCTTCTTTAGTGCATTTTTATTTAATTTTACTGTACCTTAATGTATCTGTGTATCTTAGAGTTCTTGCATCATGGACTATTTTAGGCAGTGGCCCAGGTAAGCTGCTTCTTGCTATCAGTTTTTCCCTGTAGACTGCTTAAGTAAACCAAAAACTTTGGTCTTAGCAGAATTTGTTACATGTGAAATTTCATGTAATAGTAGAAATTTAAATCCTCTAAGCACAAACATAATAAGAAAAAGTCAAGTCTGATAAGTCTTGTGTTAGTGGTAATAAATTGTTCAGCTTATTGAGTTCCTTTTCTTAGCACATACTATCTTTTAGGTCTATCATTAAATATTCAAATTACCTCCTCCACATCTGATTGTCACACTTACCATATTCCCCCTCAGCCATACTCTCTGGGCTTACACAGTGCTGTTCCGGAAAAGGTTGTTGATGGATTGGGTATGGTTGTTACTGTTGGTGGAGTAACCATTGTCAGCATAGGAGAACTGGGCTTAGCTTTATTTAAAAGACCATTCAATTAACGGGTTCTTACTTGAGTTGTTTTGAATTTCAGCGCCATGTGAAAATGTCTTGAATTCAGTCCCTGTATAATAGACTTCTCACTCTAAATTTGTAGGTCTATCATGGTGTTGCCTCATAAATTTATTTATTATTTAATTCTTGGCTCAGCAGTTTCTCACTAATCCCCAGGTGGTGCTTAGACTGAATTGTATTGCAGTTCTGAGAGAATTCCTTGATTATTCCACACACCAATGCTCTACTCTTAATTTTATGCTGTCCTTGAAGAGGTTGCCTGCTTGAAATGGACTAGATAAGTAGAGTTTCCTAGAACACGAATTTGGTAGTTCACTTAACCTGTTTGTGATGTTGTAGTGGACTTCAGTCTTAATGTATCTTTACTTGTTTCCCATTTGCAGCGTATGGGTGAGTATGTCAACAGTTTTTGACTTCAGCCTTTTGGTACTACAGTTTCTTTAACTTCTGTTGAGCTTCTATTGCAGGTATTGGACATGGCATATCTTCTTACGATGTCATCACCATTAGCATATTTCCAGCTAAAAATAAACATCAAACTCCAAAGCCTGTATTGTCTCATGTTTTTGAAAATTGAAGATTTTTATTCTATTTATATTTACTTTCTCACTTTTGGTGTTGACTATCATTGGTTTCAAAAATAGAATTTATATTTGACATGTAACTGTAAAAAATAGATCACTGTCCCTGCCCCATTTACTGGTACTTTCTAGTCAGATTTACTAGTTAATAGTCATACATAGAGCTGATGACATTAACGCTAACACTTACCATGTCTCTGGGGTACTGTTCAAGACTCTTCACATAATCCTATACAGCAGGACACATTATTATCCACACTGTGTCTTCATGGAAGTAAGGCATGGGAAAATAAAGTAGCTAAGCACTACTGGATTGTTGAGAGCCTCAACAATGCCTCCAGCTTCGGTGCATTCACTCCAAAGTCATGTTGACTTTCTGTTCTTATAGAAAGTAGTATATCCCTTTGGAAAAATCAGAAGTCCTATTTCTCAAATGCTTTCTAATCCTTCCCTTTCCAACTAATCACTGGCTTGAAATCAAGGAAGTTTGATTGTTCAGCATGAATGAATTTTAAATTGAAGAAGCCACTTCAATTATGATCAGGTTTTTTTGTTTTATTTTTGTATTTTTAAGTCTTTCTAGTTTTTCAAGACAGGGTTTTTCTTTGAACCCCTGGCCATCCTGGAACTCACTTTGTAAACCAGGCTGGCCTTGAATTCAGATATGTCTGCCTCTGCCTGCTGAGTTCTAGAATTAAAGGTGTGTGCCATTATGCCCAGTTCATGATCATATTTTTAAAGATGCCATTTTCATAAATTAGGAAGTTATTTAGCAAGAACTCATTGTAAATTGTCATTGAGAAGCCATTTTGGGGTGGTTTTTTTTTTTTTTGTCTTTTTTTTTTCATATGAGGTGACAATAACTTTAGACATGCTTTGTATTAGTAGGTGGCATCACCCTGAAGTAGAGACTGAGGACTGAAAGTTTAAGGTTTTGTATCAGTTGCACTGTCTCTTAAACTGGTTTAAGTATCGATGTCACTAATCACCATTGTTATAAAATGGAATAAAAGTATCAGTTTAAGAAGTGGTCTTGTCTTGAGAAAGTGGTTCATGTCTTGAGAAAACCACTATTAAAACATTTGAAATGATGAAAATATGAAGTGCTTCTAACTGTTTTGGTAATTTTGGATTAACTTTGATAAGTGAACAGATAATAGACTTTTAATCTAGGCTGTTGCACTTGCGCATAATCCTAGTATTAGTGAGCCTGAAGCAAAGAAATCCTGAGATTAAGGCCAGTTTAGGCTATGTAGCAATCTGACGGGTGGGAATGGATGGATGCATGCATGCTGGAGATATGGCTCATTGGTTAAGAGCACTAGCTGCTCTTTCAGAGGACCTGGGTTCAATTTCCAGCACCCAAATGGCAGCTCACAACTGTCTGTAACTCCAGTTCCTGGGGATCTGATCCCTTCACACAGACAAAACACCAGTGCACATAAGATAGAAAAAGAAAAGATTTATTTGATCTGCAACCTTGAACCTCTTGCCTCAGCCTTCCTATTGCTGAGATTGTGTCTACCACCATAGGATAACTTAAAGTGACTCTTTGATGTGATGTTTTTTAAAGAGGAAGCAATGTACAGATGAGAAGTTCTTCCATATCAATGAGATCCCTGATTGTTTAGTTTCTAGAAGTTAGTGGAAGAAAACATGCTTTTATAAAATCAGTGCTTGCTGCCTTTAGTCCCAGCTCTTGGAAGGCAGAAGCAGGTGGAGCTCTTAAGTTCAAGGCCAGTCTGGGTTACAGAGTTCCAGTACAGCTAGAAGGCCACACAGAGAGAAACTCTTGAAAAGAACCAAAATAGACACATGGATAAGCATACATAATGATAGTGCTTGCTAATCTTTGTAAACTGTGCACTTCCAAGTCTAGGAATAGATTATAAAGAAGGAGTCCATAATTCCAAACACTAGAGGTCATAATGAGAAAGCATATAGAGAGGATAAGTGCTTATTTGATATGTGAATATTGATTATTAAAGCTTGTTCTGGGGTAGGAAGATGGCTCAGTGAGTAAAGTTATTTCTGGGCAAGCATGAGAGCTGTTCGGATCCATAACCCTCTCTAAATGATGAGCACGGAGCATGGCGGCATGCACTTGTGGTCCTAGCACTGGGAGGCAGACAGTTTAGCTGAATCTGAGTTCCAGGTTCGGAGAGAGAGGGAGACCCTTTCTCAAAGTGGAGAGCAGTGGAGGAAGACACCTACCTACCTGTCTGTTGACCTCTGTCCTTCACGTGCATTTGTGTTCAAGCACAGAAAGCTCCTTTCCCTTGAGTTGTCATGGTGCCTCTGTTAAACTGTATTCACTGTATGAATCTGCTTAATATGGATAGAACCGTAGTACAGGCTTGAGCTTTCTAAGATGTTGAGGATTGGTTTGCAGTAGGGTGGAGTGCTGGGGTTCATCCAGAAGGTCTCAGTCGTGCTAGGTATGTGCTCTCCCACAGAGTTATATTCCGAGCCAGGCTGTCAGAGCCTGCAGCGTAAGGGCATCTTTTTGTGTATGATTTCACCCATACTGAGTACTGCATATATTTTTCTTTCATTTTCTTTTATCTTTTGACCAGTCTTAAGTTCTGATTTTATGACTTATCTTTGCCTGTGTAAATATAGATATATATTTAAAATAGCCTTCTCTATCTATTAACCGTAAAGGTCTTGTGATGTTTTGTATTATTTCTCAATAATTTTATTGAAATTTGTTTTGCATATAATGCAGAGATGTAGCAAATTGAAAGTAATAATTAATTGCTTTTATTGATTAGTAGTAGGACAGGTATAGTGACTCGGGTCTTAATCTTAGTACAATGTAGACTGAAGCAGAAGCATGCATTTGAGGCCAGCTTGGTCTTTGTATGGATCTCTGCTCCATAGTGAGATTCTACATCAACCTTCTCCCCTAAAACCCAAAATTAATGATTTCTTTACTAGTGTTGTGAAATGCTATTTCTGCCAAGCTTAATTCTTACATGTGCATACTGACCTGTAAGTTTTACGTTTAATTGTGCAAATTGTGACTTTGATTGCTTTCTAATACCATTCATGTTTGCTATTTCAACTAATCATGGTTATTGTATGCATGCAATTTTATTTTTTCTCATTATTTTCAGCTTTGTATTTTAATTAAGAGTGCTCATTCCTTTATCATGTCATGGGCCATTTTTCCCCCTGTCATTCATACCCAAGATAAAGTTTAATTAACAAGTTAGATATAATAAATTAATAAATTAATAACAGTTTAATAAGCATATGAAATGTGGTTTTTCTCCCTCTCATATCTTGATTTGCTGTAATAAAATTGGTGGATCCTGGTGACTAAGGATGACTGACTCTGTGAGGGAGAAAAGCCAGGAGGACTGCTTACTAGAAAGACCGCATGGAGCTCAGTGTATACAGTGGCTGGAAGTCTGGCTCAGCCCTTTTAACAGAGAAAATGGTCATTTTTTTACCTTGTGAAAGTGTACCTGTTTTGTTCCTCCCATTAGTAAGAGAGCAGCATCTGAGTAATCTAGGACTACAGGGATCGAGTGAGCAGTGCTGAGGCTGAAAGGGGACAGTGCCAGGTGGGCTGGAGTTCCACTCTGTCCCTTACTGCTGGGGTGGAAAGCGTGTGCAGATGAACAGGTGTGCTGCCTGCGGGGGCAGAGTCCTTAGCTGGTCAGCACCACTTACAGTTTGCTATTGTAGCAGCTGAGGGTTCTTAGGAGTAAGAGGAAATTCAAGGTAGGTTGGAGCCACAATGAAGAAGGCACTTGAATTTCCCTGAAGAGATGATTACACAAGTTCAAAGCGCAGGAAGGAGCAGTGGTGCTGGCTCTTGGTTGCTGAGTGAACCAGAGAGGGAAGGTGGACAA